GCTGGGAGGGCACACAAGGATAGCGGGAAGATGGTTGACATTTTCTGAATATTTGAAATTCTTTATAATTTATGAAGTTATGTGTATGTCTATGACATACATTTTTTTTTAAGATTTTATTTTATTTATTTGGAAGAGAGACAGCGAGAGAGGGAATACAAGCAGGGGGAGTGGTTGAGGGAGAAGCAGGCTTCCGCAGAGCAGGGAGCCTGATACGGGGCTCCATCCCAGGACCCTGGGATCATGACCTGAGCCGAAGGCAGACACTTAATGACTGAGCCACCCAGGCGCCCCAACATATACATTTGAACACTAATTTGGCACTCAAACATTTTGTTAAAGTAGAAAATTACATGTTTATTTCAATAACAAGAGTCTTGTTTTCCTTTAATAAGTAAAACTAGGAAACACTACTTAAAATTTTTAAAAGCATATGTAGAATATGGAAGAAACCTTTACTTATTTCTTAATATGTGATGATTGATTATCTTGTATTATTCTCTAGGTCTTATTTTAGTTTTGCTCTCTTTCTGCAAGCTTTTCTGTAAGAACAAGATTAGGAAGTCAATGTCCTGGATGTAATTGATAGTCTGCTGTTCTTTTTTTTTTTTGAAGAGAGAGAGAAAAAAAATAGAATACTGGAAACAGCATTGAAATGGAACTTGGGAGTTCTTTTTCTTCTAATATTTATCTAAGAGTATAAACTTGGGCAGTTTATTTCTCTAGCCATCTCTCTCTTCTTGGTCCTCATCTATAAAATGAGAGTTGGACCAGTTAGGTATGGGCTGTTTCAGCTCTGTAATATCAGAAAGAGCAGCTGATTCCATGGAAAGAGTATATATAGACTTCGGAGCCCGTTTAATTTGTCATCTCTTTTTTTTTAATTTTTTTTTAGTTTTTGATGTAGTGTTCCATGATTCATTGTTTGTGCACAACACCCACTGCTCCACGCAGAATGTGCCCTCTTTAATACCCATCACCAGGCTAACCCATCCCCCCACCCCCCTCCCCTCTAGAACCCTCAGTTTGTTTTTCAGAGTCCATCGTCTCTAATGGTTCTTCTCCCCCTCCGACTTACTCCCCTTCATTCTTCCCCTCCTATCTTCTTCTTTTTTTTTTTCTTAACATATATTGCATTATTTGTTTCAGAAGTACAGATCTGTGATTCATCAGTCTTGTACAATTCACAGCACTCACCATAGCACAAAGCCCGTTAAATTTGTGTTCAACCATTTTCTGGTTATCTACAGTCTAAGCTTTCTAACCTGTCTGATCATTTTCTCATGGTTAAGATGGGATTATTACCACACATCTCATAGATTTGTTGAAGAATAACAAGGTATGTAATGTCTTGTAAGTGCTCACCAGATTTCTCCATACCCCCATTCCATAAGTGTGTCATTTGCAAGAGTAGTTAGAAAAAAAAAAACAAAAATCTTAGTTGGCTTTATATATGAATTATGTTGTGAATTACACTTGAGGAGGGTAGTAGCTCTTGTGGAGGCATTAAAGAACTTTCTGTTCTTTACTTTTCTGGTTTTTTAAACTTTTTTATGTAGTTTATTAATGTTAAATTAGTTGATATCTTACGAAAATTTAAATATTAGGAAGATTAACATTAACGTTTTCTTTGACTAAACATCTCTCAATCTCTACTACTTAGAAAGTAATACATGCACATACACGCATACATGTTTTCTGTGGGTTTATATGGTATCCAAATAACTGTATTTTCTACTTTTAAAAATAATGACTTAAGGGATGCCTGGGTGGTTCAGATGGTTGGGCGTCTGCCTTCAGCTCAGGTCATGATCCCGGGGTCCTAGGATCGAGCCCTGCATCGGGCTCCCTGCTCAGTAGGGAGCCTGCTTCTTCCTCTCCCTCTGCCTGCCACTCCCCCTGCTTGTGCTCTCTATCTCTCTGACAAATAAATAAATAAAATCTTTTAAAAAATGACTTAAATTTCTTTATTAATATAAAGAAAAATTAGAAAATCTCACCACCCAGATATAGCCTCTGTTAGTATTTAGGTGCGTATCTTACCAGTGTTGACACTGCAGTGCCAAAGTGCAACTCAGTGATCTTTGTGCCAGTCTGGTTTTTTTCATGCATCTGTACTTCTGTTGACTCTCTATGCTATTTATATTTATGTAAGTGAGATCCTTTTATATATGTATATTCATATACATATAATAGAAGTATAAAATTATTTATTAAATATATTACATTAAAATTATATATACCCACACACAACAGATCTTGAATACTTTCCCTGTCATTAGGAAAATTTAATACTGGGGCGCCTGGGTGGCTCAGTTGGTTAAGTGACTGCCTTCGGCTCAGGTCATGATCCTGGAGTCCCAGGATCGAGTCCCACATCAGGCTCCCTGCTCAGCAGGGAGTCTGCCTCTCCCTCTGACCCTCTTCCCTCTTATGCTCTCTATCTCTCATTCTCTCTCTCAAATAAATAAATAAAATCTTTAAAAAAAAAAAGAAAATTTAATACTGCTAATGGTTGTATAGTTCTACATGTGTATCACAAAAACATACTGTATTTATACTTAAGTATGTTTTTCCACAGTTGTAATACTTTTCCCAGAATAAATATCTAGGCTGAATCTGGTAAAGAATTTCTTTTGATACTAATTGTAAAATTGTTTTATGGGAAAGGCTAACAGGGCACCTGGGTGGCTCCGTCATTGAAGCTGCTGCCTCTTTGGCTCAAATCATGATTCTGGGGTCCTGGGATCAAGCCCTGGCATCAGTCTCCCTCTCTCCCTGCTTGTGCGCTCTCCTCGCTCATGCACGCTCTCTCTCATAAATAAATAAAATCTTTAAAAAAAATTTAAAAAAGACTTACCAGTAATGTCTGCCTCTCTGCAGTTTTGTTGGCTGTACAGAGATTAATGATTTAAAATAATCTTTGACCATACTATAGGTAAAAAATTGTATGTGTTCTTTTTGTATTTCATTGATTACAAATGAGGTTAAATTTTTTCTTTTCATGTGAATTGCTTGTATATCTCGCTATTTTTCTGAATGTTTTTTGAAATCATTCTTAGTTGCCAGAAATGATATAAATTGTTCTCATGGCCATCAAATGCCATAGGTATTCTCATACTTGTAATAAAATTAGTAGCTTTTTTATTAGCATTATTTCCTTCTCTTTTGTCAGGAATTTCACCATAAAAAATGAGAAGGGAGATTATTAAAACAACTTATAATTTATATTCCCACTAGAAATGTATGAGAGTGCCTATCCTTATACTGTCAGTCTTTTGGATTGTTGTTGCCAGTCTAAGAGGTTAAAAAATGGCTTCTTAATTTTCTTTTAATTTGTATTTCTCCAATAAGTAAATTTCTTTTTCTATAAATTATTTGTATTCATTACTTTTTCTAATTTTCAGGAATTTCTTACATACTAGGGAAATTAACCCCTCATGTGATGTAATGCAGTGCAAATACTTTTCTTGGTTTGTGTTTTTGAAATTGTTCATGATGGTTTGTCAGCTTGCTTTAGCGCAACTGGCAAAGTATTAACTAGGATAGGGCCCTTTCACATATTTCTCACAGGTAACTCTGATAATCATTGTATTTTTAGTACATTTATTAATTGAATTTGCTTAAGAGAAATATCCAGTTCATATGTCTGCTCATATTTCCACTCCCAGCCCAGTAGACAGCAGTGGTAGTTTTATCAGTCTGGGCCTAGCCAGGAAAACAGCAGCTTTGCTGCCAGATCAGGTGGATCTGTGCATCTTTCTGATAGCTTTCTTCCATCTTTGTTTTCTTGTTTCATACTATGGTTTCGTTGTTTGTAGACACAAAACAAATATTTTCTTAAGAATTTTGGATGATGTGCCTGTGTTTGAAAGTAATCTTGAAACACCCCCACCCACACCCCTGCAAACTACACTACTTATGTCCTCTTGAGTTTCACTTTTCTTTTATAGACTTTCCACGTTGCAAAGTACCATCCTTTAGTCACTAATGTTCTGGCAAGATTATGTTGAATTAATTACGTGTGCAAATGAATGTAGTAAGAGAACAGCTAACTAGGAGGAAATTTTATAATAAGTACGTATCTGGTAGGGGGCACTCTGATAGAGACAAAATCTTCAATGGAGATCTGTTTATCTGAGATAGAGGTAGACTTCTGTGGAAATCTTTGTCATTCTTCACATAAAATATTGCTTGTTAAAGTTGCCACTCTGTTTTGACCAAAACTTGGACAGATGAGTGACTAATATTTGTAGTTTTCAGGGTTGTTCTAACTTTGCAACCCTTTTGATTTTTGTGAATATATCAGAAGATGAAGAAAGGTGAATCAGATATTAGTTGACCCTTGAATAACATGGGTTTGAACTGTGCAGGTCCACTTATACGCAGATTTTTTTCAATCAATATTGTACAGTAAATGTATTTTCTTTATGATTTTCTTAATAACTTTTTCTCTGGCTTACTTTATTATAAGAATACAGTTTAAAACATATATAAAATATGTGTTACTCAGCTGTCATGTTATCAGTAAGGCTTCTGGTCAGTAGTAGGCTATTAGTAGTTAAGTTTCTAGGGAGTCAAAAATTATATGTGGATTTTTGACTGCCTGGAGGTTCAGTGCTCCTAACCCCCACCTTATTCAAGGCACAATGACAATTGTCAGTAAGCGTCCATGTTATTTTGTGATTTTATGTTTATACTCTTACTATTAAACTATATTTTTTGGTCTGTGCTATTTGGTAAGTATACCTTTATAAAATAATAGCTGTAAGCATTCAGTTTGTTTAGATTTTAAGTGTTACATGTCACAAAGGATTATGATTTCTTTTTTTAATTATTGAAATAATGAAACCCTTGCATGTTCCCTCATAATCAAATTTGGAAAACTAATTGTTTTATTTGGTCCCTCTTGATTCAGTCTGACTTTTTGATCAGCAAATGAAACTTCTTTTCTTTGTAGTAAAGTATTCATCTGTGTGGGATATTGCATAAATCTTGGAAGACTGCAGTAAAGTGGCAATGTCTCGGGAACCCAGCCCACCTCTCCCTGGAGATATGTCTACTGGTCCTATAGCAGAAAGCTGGTGTTATACACAGGTACATCCTGTTAAAAATGCCTTACTCTATGTTATTTACAAATTTTATAGTATTTTGAAAATATCGTAAAGCATTTTGTTATAGTTATTCCAGATGTTAGAAAAGTGGGTCACAGGATTTTTAACATGTGACAAGTTAAAAGCAAAAAAGTCATCATTTTAAAAGTGGTTTTCTGAATCTCTTAGGTTAAAGTAGTAAAATTTTCCTACATGTGGACCATTAATAACTTCAGTTTTTGTCGAGAGGAAATGGGTGAAGTGTTAAAAAGTTCAACATTCTCATCTAGCCCCAGTGACAAAATGAAATGGTAAGATTTTTGTTTTGAGTTTTTGTTTTTGATATAGTCTTCAGCTACTTTATGGTTTTGTTATTGATTCTTAATGGGTTATATTAGATTTATAATTTCCTAATATTGAGAATTATAAAGAACTGGAGATATTAATAGGAGTGCTATTTGTGATATTTAACGACTAATTTCAGTATTGCCTCTCTCTTTTGAACGTTTTAAGTTTTATATTCCTCCATATGAGCCTGTTGTTTTATTTTAGGTGCCTGAGGGTAAATCCAAAGGGATTAGATGATGAAAGTAAAGACTACTTGTCCTTATATTTGCTTTTAGTCAGCTGCCCAAAAAGTGAAGTTCGAGCAAAATTCAAATTTTCCCTTCTAAACGCTAAAAGGGAAGAAACAAAGGCAATGGGTAAGTGATTTGAAGTAAAGAAGTCTCTGAGTAACTACATGTTAACTTATGTACTTGTACCTAAAAAAGGATATATTTTTTTCCCCATTGAAATCTGATTAACCTCAAACATGCAGTGTGGTCATTGTTTAATTTTAAATGCTGGTCTGGAGTTATGGTTGTATTAATAAATCTTAGACTTCATAAGACATGTAAAATTTGTTAAAAATAATATTAAAATTTTACTTTTTCATGTCCTAAAACAATATTTACTTGTCACTTAGAAAAATAGTTGCTTTTAGGGCAAGGTGCCTGGTTCAGCTCCTGGCAAATATAATTGGTGTTCAGGAAATAGTTCTCCCTTGCTGTTTTTCCAGATAATAAAATTTGAGGAACAATGTGAAAAGAGATTGAATGTTTTGGTATTCTATCACTAGAATTTTTTTGAGCAGTGGACTGAACACTGACCAAAAGGAAATCAGTTTTCCTTAGTCTCAGGGCCTATTAAATTCATTTCAAAGCTTCACATATATAGCCAGCTGAAACCATGTGGCCAATGCTTCATAATAGAAGAGCATTGTAGGAAATGTACAGTGTGCATAGTAGGAAAATATGTCATAAATTACCACATTAAATTTTAAGTGATTTCCAGAAGTGAATCACAGAATCAAGTAACGTCATTATAAAAAAAAAAAAACTTCCTCCAGATAAAGTTTTAAATAATACCTTTTATTGCCTAAGTAATACATTGTTTTATATATATTTTCCTCATGTCTGACATTTATGGTAGTGGAGTGTCTTGGTTTAGGCTGCGTAACAAAGTACCATAGACCGGATTGCTTATAAACAACAGACATTGGCTTCTCACAGATCTGAAGGCAGAAAGTCCAAGATTAGAGTACCAGCATGGTCAAGTTCTGGTGAAGGCCTTCTTCTGGGTTGTAGACTGCTGACTTCTCACTGTCTTCACATGGCTGATAGAGCTCTAGGGAGCTTTGTGGAGGTCTCCACCCTCACGAACTCATCTAGTTCCAATCACTGACCTCTTAATACCATCCTTTTGGGGGATATGATCTCAACATAAGAATTTTTGGGAGATACAAACATTCAGTCCATAATGTGGAATCTTTCAATTAGGTTTATTACTGGTTTTTCACCTCCAGTTAATACTTTGTATAACAGATTGTAAATACTTTCTGTTGAGGATCTTGTTTATTTTATAATACGCGGTTCTACAGTATGCTAGGCATTTGAAACATTTGCCTCAGACTTTATTGTTTTTTATAAATTATACTAAAATCTTTTAGACTTTATGAAAGTTGTTTCTAGGGGTGAGGGGATTATGTCCAAAGGTCTAGGAGTGATAAGAGACTTTAGTGTTTTTTGTTTGTTTGTTTTACCAGTTGATGGATTTTTCTCTAGTTCATTAAAACTTAAATTAGTGGGATAGATGCCCCAGGAAAGTTAAAGGATGCCTTGGAGATTTTGAGCGTCCATTTTTAGAGGGAGAAGCAAGAAATGAGGGGTATGTTTCTAAACAGATTTTGATGAGGAGGAATATGCGTATGCCAATGTATTTTCTTCCTCCTTCATTATTCAAGGGCCTGCATTGTTAGAGAGATCTCTTCCTTCTCCAGGAGATTTGATATGGCTTTTCTTCTACTTAGAGATCCAGAAATCTGAAAGTGAGCCAAAATTTGAATACTGCTGTGAAACAATGTTGTCCTATGTGATGTAACTTTTAAGACATTTCATTTATGAATACATAAATCTATAATTCTTAAAATGGATGTATTGGCCAAGTTTTATTTTTGCATATTCATTTAACTGTGTTATCAATTAGATGATTTTTTTTTATTTAAACTTCTATTCTGTTTTCCACCAGAAAGCCAAAGAGCATATCGATTTGTACAAGGGAAAGACTGGGGTTTTAAAAAATTCATTCGAAGGGATTTTTTGCTTGATGAAGCTAATGGTCTTTTACCAGACGACAAGCTTACATTATTTTGTGAGGTGGGTATATTTTTTATTTTGAGGAACTCCAAAGTTATATTTCGTGGTAAAGCAAAAATATAAAGTAGAACAATATTGGGCATACTTTATTTTAATTGGGTATATTTTTAAAATTCAGTAATTGGTATAATTGATAAGGTTTCATTTGTAAATGTTTTTACCAGTAAGACTAGATTGTTTTAGAAATCAATGTAGTAAGTAGCCCATCCTGAAAAATATCTGTCATGTCTATAGCTGTAAATTATATATGGTAGTTATACTACCAAATACTAAATACTTCTTCCTCCTAGGAAGACTATAGATGTGTATATCTTTATATGAAAATTTGTAAGTATCTTCTTCATTCTGAATAATTGTAATATAGATGTTCATTATTTTTTGTCATATTCAGGTTGACCATATTAAACATGATTAGTATTGTATCAGTTTGAATACATACATAATGAAAGTTCCTGAAGAGATTGGGAAGCTTTTTGTTTATTCAGACAGTTGGATTCATTTAATTAAATAGATGTTAGCATTATAAGAAATAGCATCCTAAATTTTTAAGATTTGCCCATGTCTGTTCACAGACTTGTGAGATATATTTATTTGTATAAAATGTCATATTTTAACAGTAACCAGCATAGCCCCTGTAATAATTTACACTTATGATTTGTCTTAATTTGAGCCTAGAATTTGCTTTTGTCATTGTCATCATTACATAGTTTTATCTGTACAAATAGTTGAGATTCCTCTTTGGAGTGAATTCAAGGATTATATTGTGTTACCAATACAGTTTATAGAGAATATACATCAGTAGCATAGTTTCATCAAAATGTTTAAGGTAGTTGATAATTTTCATAGGAAAACTAATTGAAAGGTTATGATCAAGTAAACTCAATGTTAAATATATTTCAGTAAGCTATTATAGACCGTGAGTGTCTTGGAAGCATGGTAACTTACCTTAACTGCTACTAAATTAGCTTTAATCTCTTTGTAGAAAATACGTAGAATTTCTTGGCAACATTCTAAACTAATTGTATGTTTTTATGCTGTCAGAAAAATAATTGAAATGTGGCTCTAGAGACTACATAATGCAAATATAGTGCATCTTATTTTCACTTAGACAAGTTAAATGAACTGTAGGATGAATTTATGAATATAATTATTTGGTTGGTAAAGCACATACCACAAGTGTCTTCAGCAGAGTTTATCATTAAATAATTTTTAAAACAAATACTAAAACATTTGTTGCCAATAGACATATATTCAGAGTAGTATTTTAAATAAATACAGGTATTATTTAAAAATTTTAACATCCTTAATGTAGATTCTTCCAGAATTTTAGCAGTTATCTTAAATTCCAACATGTTATTTTTTTTAAATCATATAATCTTTGAATTTAAAGGACCTTAAAAAGCTATGTAATCCAGTTTCAAAAATTTACTGCAGTTAAAAGTCTTTATGTAAATAAACTCTTTAAGAAAATATATTTTTTTTTAGAATTAAAATCGTGTTTACAGATATTTTCCTAAGCATATTATATTGGAACCTAGTCAACCAAGAAATTCAGAATGAAGGCTGAAATTAAGATCTTTTTAAAATATATACTTTTGAAGTATGTTTTTTTATCCACATGCTAGTGACCTCCTAAAAACATAACCCACCATGACTCACATTTTAAGTTGGCATTGATCAGATTCAGTTTTGGATACTTGTAATATGTACCTTTTTACTGATGTAGAGATTTATACCCTGGGCGCACTGTATTTAGCATCGGTGGGCAAAAAGTACTTTGAACGAACATTCCTCATGCCCTCCACCATTTCTTCTATACCTCTCATTGATGCCCTTCCTTCTACAGCACCTCCAGCACTGCTTGCAGAAGAGGAGGAAGCATTGCACTGCCCTACCTAAAGAACTGCCTCCTCCCCCTCCCCTGCAAGTGGTGCTGTAGACAGGTAAGGCAGTTGGGTGCTACCCTTTTTCTGCAAGACCTAACTTCATCTTGCAAGTTCCACTATGAATCAAGTAGCCAGAGGTAGATATTTCTAGGAGTGTAAAGAGCTCTGCCCCTTCTCTCCCTCCCAAAGTGATGCAGAAGACAGGACTTGAGGAATACATTTGAAAAATAGAAAACTGTTTAGATTAATTCATCTTTTTAAATCCAGTAGATTTTTAGTCTCATAGTCTGTAGACCCATACTATTCCATGATTGCAGAAGATTATGCATATACAGATAGAATATATGTTATGTATTGAGTTTTTCATAAAGTTAATTCATGAAGAAGGATAAACCGTTTTTCCCATCCTATTTTTTTGTTGCTAAGATATCACTTCTGTTTTAAAATATTTGTGATAATGGAAGTTAGGTTTTATTCTTTAAAAAGCCCTTTTATGGCAAAATGAAAAGTTGACAGCCCTGTTTCTGTCACCCAAATTTTTAAGAAGGATGCCTATCTAGGACAGTCAAAAAGTCTAAGATACACTATTTTAAGGGTGTGAAATTGGACCATGGAAAGTTTCTGACTGTGGAGCCACTGTGACGGATGGTTAGGTAGTTGATTAAGAGTGGCAAAATTTGTACTTTGATGAACCATTATAAATTCCTAGTTTTTAAAACAGTTTGGAGAATTGAGATTTTTAAAACTGGAAACAGTAGTCACCTCAGTTCACACTATGGGAGACCCAGATTTCTAGGGTAGTCACAGTTGATTAGAATTTAGTCTAAATTATATTCTCACGATTAAGCTAAAACCACATTTGAAGAAGAGTTTTCAAATGCGTTTGAGGTTTTGTTTTGCAGCATTTGTCAATTTTGAATATGGTAACTTTGCCTTTTTATTTTGAAAGAACAACAATTTAACCATAGGAAAGAATCTCAGACTTTTTTCTGAATTTTTTACTCTAGGTTCCATTCAGTAAGAATGTTCATTACCTGTATTTGAATATGTGCTAGAGAAAACTAAAATGTTATCAGTTTCTTAAATATAGGTATCCAGAAAATAATCAGATTTTGTTCTGTATTAATTGTTAATTAGATCATTAATTTTTGCTGCATATATAGTCCCTTGAATATACCTTGAAGTATGAAATGTTAAGTCTTAGTTAAAATTTGTGGTCACCATGATAATACTATGTAGATGTATGTTAATAATACAATTTCTTCTGAATTATTGCATATACAAAATAAAAATATAATATCATCAATAGCTATGCCTGATAAAAATGGCTTTATTTTTTGATGATTTTATTTCTTCTGTCACCTGATTTTGGCCAAATTTTTATGTTTGATGTATTATTTTGAGTTAACAATAATAGATAATAAATAGAATTTAAAAAATCCTTTCCTAAAATTAAATGTTATCACATTTTTATGACTTGACTGCATACTTTATGCAAGTAATTGAACTGATCCACTTCCTAGTGTCTAGAAATTTTTAAGACCAGTGCTTGATAGGAAGAAATAAATATTGTCTATATGATAAAAAAGTCATCTCTAACTAAATCCTGAGTATCAACACCAGCATTTTTAAAGTATCATTAAGTTATAATGGGTAGCGTAACAGGGTAATCAGGTAAGGATTAGTGAAGTTTTTCTTTTTTGTAGTCATTTTAGAAACAATTTGGATAATTAAAAAATTAGAGAACCTTTATTGCTGGATTTAATTAATTAATTTATTTATTTATGTACACAATGTCTTGGCTTCTAGATGTAGAAAATTATCTCACAGTATTGTTGCAATAAATCCTTTTTGAACCATAGTTGCATTAAAGTAGTACTAATGTTTTTAAAAGATATCCAAAGAAGTATTTGTGTAGTACAAAGAATGGTTTAAAAAAAAAGAATCTGAGAGTTATAGTCTCTAGTCTTCCTTTGATACTGATTGCCAGTGTGATTGACACATTAGTTACCTTTTTTGATCTTCCTTTGAAATCTTTCTATAAAATAAGGTGATTGGATTAGATGATTTCTATGATATATATGATGCCAAATAGTTAATAATGCAAGTTGAAAAAACAAAATGGCTAATAAAAATATCCTCAGAAAAATAAAGTTTTTCTTTAGAAGTATCCATTCATTCCCATGTGATACATGTTTATATACATCAGGATGAAGGAGAACTTCCTGAGATTTAATATTCTTGAGATGTTTTATACTGGACCATTATTATACATTCTGTGTTAGCTAACAAATGACCACAAAACTTAGAAGCTTAAAACAGTAGATAATTAACACATAGTACTAATGCACTAATGGTTCATTTACTCTGAAATATTTGTTGTTTTTTTTTTGAAATACTTGCTTTAATAATTGAGTAGTATTTTCTTCAACTTATTAAATGTAATATGAAATTTCTAATATTAGTAACATACTTTTTCTTAAAAGTGGTGCTGAAGACTCAATCGTGTTTTAAGATTTTATTCAGTCCTCTTTAATGAGAGAAAATCCGTATTATATTGAAATCTTTATAAAAGCATTGTTTTAATCATACTTTTATTATTTCATAGATAAACAAAAAGTCTACAAATTGAACTAGATTGTATTATTATTACTGTTGATTATTATAAAAGATTTCCATGAATTTTAATGAGTACGATTGGTTTTGTGGGAATTCTTACACTTTACAATTTAAATCAATATTACTAGATATTTAAATAAATTTTACTAGTGTCAAAACATGTAGAAATCACACCTACAATACTTCCCAAATTACATATCATAGACTGTAATTTTATAACCTTTTTTAATACTATAAAAAGTCCTTATGAGTGTGATACCATGTTTATTACATGTGTAATAATTTTTAAATGTTGATAGGTCTTTGGTGTAAGTGAGAAAATAAAAATTAAAGAAATTTCTTCCTTCACCTCACAAAAATGTCTCCTGCTTGTTTCAGTTTGACATCATCTTATGACTTTTATTTTCCTGAGAAATAGTTTTTGTGATTACTTTAATAACCAAGCATTCCAACCAATCGATAAGCCATTTATTTACATAAAATGTCACTTGAAAATCAATATTTTCTATATTCTCTCCTTTAAATTATATCCTTAAATTTAGTTTCCAGTATTAACATTTTTGATCAGGAGTACTTTGAATTGTCCAAATGATTTTAATGATAAGAAATTTAAGTATAGACTTAATAACTACTGTTACTAATTTGTAAAAGTGTTTTTCTTGCTGTCCCTTTTTTATTAGGTGAGTGTGGTCCAAGATTCAGTAAATATATCAGGACATACTAATACAAATACTTTGAAGGTGCCTGAATGTCGACTAGCAGAAGATTTAGGTAATCTCTGGGAAAACACAAGATTTACAGATTGCAGTTTTTTTGTGAGAGGACAAGAATTTAAAGCTCATAAATCTGTACTTGCAGGTACTTTCAACTTTTGGGTAATATTGTACATTTTTCCCATAAATCTATGCATTAAATAATGATGCGTAATCTTGTTGCAGCTCGATCCCCAGTTTTTAATGCAATGTTTGAACATGAAATGGAAGAAAGCAAAAAGGTAAACATGGTTTAAAGGCTAATATTTAATTTGTGCTAATGTAGAATAGTGAAATGTATATTTTGAAAGTAATGGTGCATGTTCTCATTGTTACATTATGATTTTAGAAACAGAAGGATAGGAAAAAAATGTGTTCTGTAGTAGAACAATAGATGTAGCCTATGTGGGTGAATATTCCAAATAATAGCTATTTTGTTGTCCATCTGGTGGCAAACTAAGTGGGTAGTTGTTATCCAGAAGAGTGGTTCTGGTCCATAGCTACTTGAGAGTTTCCTGGTTAAGATGTTTATTCCTCTTTTCTAGACTATGCATTGATTTTGGAATTCTACATTCTTTTTACCACTAAAATAAGATATTTATTAGATTTTTAAAAAACGATATAAATTACATCAATGTTATTATATATTTAATCAATATATTATATCTTTGGTTTTCCCAAATGTTTCTCCTTCACCTTTCATCTTGAAATGTAGTCAGATTAAAGATCAGAGATTGATTCTTTGCTGGTTGCATTACATGTGAGCCTTCACGCTCTAACTGGGTAACTCCAAAGTTTATTTATGTGGCTCTCCTTCATTCTTTCTGTAGAACTAAAGGCTGCAGCAAGTAGCTACTTTCTTTCCTTGGGTTGTTGTTCTGCTAGGTACTATGATTAGCCTTCTGATCACTTCCACATGAGGAGACATGAATAATGTCAAATGTTATTGTCAGCAAAGGGTCAGAAAAGTTTGGTATTGTTTAGTGTTAGATGTTTAAGCTTCATTGATCCCGAGAGAAACCAAATACGAAGTTGTAGGAGTAAAAAAGAAATTACTACTCATTGGACTCAAGTATGTTTTGAGCAAAGAGGTAATTTGCCAGTAGATAGTATGACATGTCATTTTTGCAAAAGGGAGAGTTCCAAGGTAGTGGGCCGTGGAATTACTTGAAATACCTGACCCAACTTTTGCTTAAAGCTGGGAATAGTACCATTGGTTGTGGGGTCTTAGGCATTGTACTATGACCTTGGAATTCAACAAAGAAAAAGTTAATAGCTGTCTTCTTCTAAGATAGAGGTTAAGAACTGAATACGTGTATTTTGTTTGGCCTAAAGGCTTTTGTTTGTTTTTGTTTTACTCTTTATAATTGAGAAATTGAGGTTTTATACACCTACATGGTGTACTTGTCCTGTTAGACCTGCCTGCTTCACTTTGCCTGCTTAGCTTACTGAAGATTTACTTACCTCCATTTTAAAGTAGAGTTTAAAATAGAGCACTTGGGTGCAGATTTAGTTAAATTATTATCCAAGTTTCACTTTGGTTCATTTGTGCGTGTGTATGTTCTTTGAGTATAACTTTTTTATGTTGTTTTCAATATCAGAATCGAGTGGAAATAAATGATGTAGACCCTGAGGTTTTTAAAGAAATGATGAGATTCATTTACACAGGAAAAGCACCAAACCTTGACAAAATGGCTGACAACTTGTTGGCAGCTGCAGACAAAGTAAGTAATTAGGTCTTAACAAGCTGAAAAATCTCCTCAAGCTTATTGTATCTAGAAAGCTGTCATCAAATGAAAACCCCAAATAACTTAAAATACCGAAGAATTAATTTGTACTATTTATAGATGGCTCTTGAGCTTATTATGAAATAGCATACAGTGAAGATATGGAAATGAGATTTTTTTTTAATCAATAAGGCATAAAAATATCCGGAACTAGTTAGAATATATAAAATAAAATAATAAAAAAGAAAAAAATATTTGGATTTTTTTCTAACTTAATTCCCTGTATTCAGAGATTTATTTTTTAACATGATAGCATAGAAAAGAGAAAAAATTGTCAATTTTATGATGTTCTTTTATAATGGTGATTTCTTTTTTTAAAAAAATGTATGTATGTATTTGAGAGAGAGAGCGCATGCACCCATGAACGGGGGTGGGGAAGGGGCAGAGAGAGGGGGAGAAATAGACTCCCCGCTGAGCAGGGAGCCCAACATGAGGCTTGATCCCAGGACCCTGAGATCATGACCTGAGCCGAAGTCAGATGCCCAAACAATTGAGCCACCCAGGTGCCCCTATAATGGTGATTTCTTAAAGTTTGAGAAGCAACACAAAAATACCAGAAAATCACAAAGCCAGTAGTTCTCAATCCTGTAAGCATATTTGGAGGTTTTTCTGAAAAGTATTGATGTTCATGCCACTTAGGTCCATGCGTATAATATGTAAGTTTATGCATATGCCTATGTGTGTGAATATGTGCATGTATATATACATATATATACATACACAACACACATACTACACACAGAGAGGGAAAGAGAGTGTGATATTGTACTTTTTTTTAAAGATTTTATTTATTTGACAAAGAGAGAGCACAAACTGGGGGAACGGCAGAGGGAGAGGGAGAAGCAGGCTCCCTGCTGAACAGGGAGCCCAATGTGGGACTCCATCCCAGGACCCTGGGATCATGACCCAAGCTGAAGGCAGACGCTTAACCAACTAAGCCACCCAGGCACCCCAATATTGTACTTGTTTTGTAAAATATTACCAGTGGGGCCATTACCAGGCCAAGTGTATATAGAATCTGTTTTTTTTCCCACCAAGTTGTTATTTAAATTCCGATTAGTTAACATACAGTGTAATACTAGTTTCAGGTGTACAGTATAACGATTCAACAATTCCATACATCACCTGGTGCTCATCACAAGTGCCCTTCTTTATTCCCATCACCTATTTAACCCATCCCCCCACCCACTTCCCTTCTGGTAGCCATCAGTTTGTTCTCTATGGTTAAGACTTGATTCTTGATTTGCCTCTGTTTTTTTTCCTCTTTGTTCATTTGTTTTGTTTCTTAAATGCACATATAAGTGAAATCATATGGTATTTGTCTTTTTCACTTAGCATAGTATTCTCTAGCCCCATCCATGTCATTGCAAATGGCAAGATTTCATTCTTTTTTTGGCTGAGTAAAATTCCATTCTCTCTCTCTTTCTATTTTATGTATATACATATAAAATATCAATCACAACTTCATTACCCATTCATCCGTCGATGGACACTTGGGCTATTTTCTTAATTTGACTATTATAGATAATGCTGCTATAAACATCAGGGTGCATATATCCCTTTGAGTCAGTATTTTTGTATTTTCTATTTTTAACTTTTTGAGGGGATTCCATACTGTTTTCCAAAGTGGCTGCACCGGTTTGTATTCCCACCAACAGTGTAAGAGGGTTCCCGTTTCTCCACATCCTCACCAACACCTCTTTTTTCTTATGTTGTTGATTTTAGCTATTCTGACAGATGTGAGGTGGTATCTCATTGTAGTTTTGGTTTGCATTTCCCTGATGATCAGTGATGTTGAACATCTTTTCATGTGTCTGTTGGCCATCCATATGTCATCTTTGGGAAAATGTCTCTTCATGACTTTTACCCATTTTTATTGGATTATTTGGTTTTGGGGTGTTGAGTTTTATAAGTTCTTCATATATTTTGGATTTTAACCCCTTCCTGGATATATCATTTGCAGGTATCTTCTCCCATTCTGTAGGTTACCTTTAGTTTTGTGGATTATTTCATTTGCTGTGCAGAAGCTTTTTATTTTGATGAAGTCCCAGTGCTTTTGCTTTTGTTTCCGTTGTGTTAGGAGACATGCAGAAGGAAGTTGCTACGGCCAATGTCAAAGAGGTTACTGCCTGTGTTCTCTTCTAGGATTTTTGTGGTTTCATATCTCACATTTAGGTCTTTCATTTTGAATTTATTTTTGTGTATGGTATAAGTAAGTGGTCCAGTTTCATTGTTTTGCATGTTGCTGTCAAGTTTTCCCAGCACCGTTTGTTGAAGAGGCAGTCTTTTTCCCATTGGATATTCTTTCCTGCTTTGTTGAAGATTAATTGACATATAGTTCTGTGTTCATTTCTGGGTTTCTATTCTGTTCCATTGATCTATGTGTCTGTTTTTGTGCCAGTACCATACTGCTTTGATTATTACAGCTTAGTAATTCAACTTGAAGTCCAGAATTGTGATGCCTCCAGCTTTGCTTTTCTGTTCCAAGATTGCTTTGGCTGTTCAGGGTCTTTTGTAGTTCTATATAAGTTTTATGATTGATTGTTCTAGCTCTGTGAAAAATGCTATTGATATTTTGATAGGGATTGCATTAAATGTGTAGATTGCTTTGGGTAATAGGACGTTTTAACAATATTTGTTCTTCCAATCCATGAGCATGGAATGTATTTCCATTTCTTTGTGTCATCTTAATTTTTTTCATTAGTGTTTTATATTCTTCAGAGCACAGGTCTTCACCTCTGATTAGGTTTCTTCCTAAGTATCTTATCGTTTTTGGTGCAGTTGTAAATGACATTGATTCTTTAATTTCTCTTCCTGCTGCTTCATTATTCATATATAGAAATGCAACAGATTGTATGATGATTTTGTATCCTGAGACTTTACTGAATTCATGCATCAGTTCTAGCAGTTTCTTGGAGTCATGTCTTCTTCAAATAGGGAAAGTTTAACTTCTTCCTTGCCGATTTGGATGCCTTTTATTTTTCTGTTGTTGTCTCGTTGCCATGGCTGGAACTTCCAGTGCCATGTTGGTGAGAGTGGACATCCTTGTCTTCTTGTTCCTGACCATAGGGGAAAGGCTCTCTGTTTTTCCCCCAATGAGGGTGATATTAGCTGTGGGGTTTTCCTATTATGGTCATTGTATGTTGAAGTCTGTTCCCTCTAAACCTAATTTGTTAAGGGTTTTTTTTTTTATCATGAATGGATGTTGTACTTTGTCAAATGCCTTTTCTGCACCAATTGAAATGATCATATGGTTCTTACCTTTCTTTTATTAATGTGATCTGTCATGTTGATTGATTTATGAATACCGAACCACCCTTGCAGCCCAGGAATAAATCCTACTTGATTGTGGTGAATTATTTTTTTAGTGTATTGTTGGATTCAGTTTGCTAATATTTTGTTGAGGATTTTTGCATCTTTGTTCATCAGGGCTATTGGCCTATAGTTCTCCTTTTTAGTGGTGTCTTTTTCTGGTTTTGGTATCAGGGTAATGCTGGCCTTACAGAATGAATTCAGAAGTTTTCCTTCCTTTTCTGTTTTTTAGAATAGTTTGAGAAGAATAGGTATTAACTCTTCTTTAAATGTTTGATAGAGTTTGCCTGTGAAGCCATCTGATCCTGGACTTTAGTTTGTTAGGAGTTTTTTGATTACTGATTCAATTTCTTTGCTGGTTATCAGTCTGTTCAAGTTTTCTATTTCTTCCTGTTTTAGTTTTGGCAATTTATGTTTCTAGGAATTTATCCATTTTTTCTAGGTTGTCCAATTTGTTGGGCATATAATTTTTCATAATACTCAAACTGTATTTCTGTGATATTGGTTGTTATTTCTCCTCTCTTTGTGATCTTATTTATTTGGATCCTTTCTCTTTTTTGGTAAGTCTGGCTAGAGGTTTATCAATTGTATTAATTTTCCCCAACTCCTGCATTCATTGATCTGTTCTATTGGGTTTTTTTGTTGTTTTTTGTTTGTTTTAGTTTCTGTATCATTTATTTCTGTTGTAATCTTTATTATTTCCTTCCTTCTGGCTTTAGGCTTTGTTATCCTGTATCTAGCTCCTTTAGGTGAAAAGTTAGCTTGAGATTTTTCTTCCTTCTTGAGGTAGGCCTGTATATTGCTATATACTTCCATCTTGGGACTGCTTTTGCTGCATCCCAAAGGTTTTAGACCATACTGTTTTTACTTTCATTTGTTTCCGTGTATTTTTTTTTTTAACTTCTTCTTTGACCCATCATTGTTTAATAGCATGTTGTTTAACATCCTGTATTTGTGGTCTTTCCAGATTTTTTTCTTGTGGTTGACTTGCAGTTTAATAGCATTGTGGTCAAAAAAGGTACATCGTATGATTTTAGTTTTCTTGCATTTGCCTCTTTATGGGCTAATTTATGATTATTCAGTTGTTGTATCTTGTTGGATTGTCCCCTTTATTATTATATAGTGTCCGTCTTTGTCTCTTGTTACAGTCTTTGTTTTAAAGTCTAGTTTGTCTGGGGCGCCTGGGTGGCTCAGTTGGTTAAGCAACTGCCTTCGGCTCAGGTCATGATCCTGGAGTCCCAGGATCGAGTCCCACATCGGACTCCCTGCTCAGTGGGGGTCTGCTTCTCCCTCTGACCCTCTTCCCTCTCATGCTGTCTGTCTCTCATTCTCCCTCTCTCAAATAAATAAAATCTTTAAAAAAATAAAGTCTAGTTTGTCTGATGTGTAAGTATTACTACTCTGGCTTTCTTTTGACATTCATTTGCATGTTAATTTTCTCCATCCCCTCACTTTCAATCTGCAGGTATCTTTAGATCTAAAATGAATCTCTTATAGGCAGCATATATGGGTCTTGTTTTTGTATCCATTCTGACACTCTGTGTCTTTTGATTAAAGTATTTAGTCCATTTACATTCAAAGTAATTATTGATAGCTATGTATTTATTGCCATTTTATTACTTGTT